AACTCATAAGACATAGTAACATCCATGTCATTTTGTTTTGATCTCCAAAGTCGGGCTTTCAGTTAAAACTTTGGGAAAATTTCTTCATGTCTATATAGAGATTTCGAACAATCTCCAATGTATCTCGAGCTGTGGCAAATAAAAGAAGTGGCATTTTTATGGCAGGTTCCATGGAGTTGACAAGGCAAGCCATAACCAAAGAATTTTCGGACTACTATTTTTTCAGATTAGGATCTCCAACAATAGGTTTTGATTTTTCCCAGTTAAATACGAAATTTTCATGTCTCGTTGATCGCTAGTATATTATGGATTGAGCCCACTCTAGGTAGTCGTGCCCATTGAGTTTTATAACTGTGAGATAAGGAGGTGAGTTTTGAGAATAATATTTGACCGATACAGCCATGAGAGTAACTATAGGGTGAGGTGATGTGGTTTCGAAATTACTAGGGTAATTTGATGTGTTAGGATTTCTATGGACCCTTAACAACAATGCTGACTTATACATCCTCAGAATCTGAGACAAGCAAAATACATGAATGAAGAAGAAAGACGCTCTGATTTTGGTATTGCAACAACCTGCAATAATAATCGATTTTTGAGATATCGGAAAAAAATTTTCACGACTTAAATTGTATCTCCATTTTTGTACCCCTCAAATTTCAATTGAAATTTTTTTTTTATAAAATTGTACACGAAAATTCCATATAAAGCATTATTCTTTAATTATGAATTGATTGAGAGAAATAAAAATTTGAAGTTATAAGTTTAATTAATACAATTACACAATTAAATTATTAATCTTGCATGGTTAATATTCCCACCGACATTACCCCATGCGTTATAACTTTGGATGGCGTCGAATGAGGGAAATCACCATTTCTTATCATTCAAACCCTCTCCCCTTCTCGGTTTCGTCGCACATCTCTCCTCCCCTCCGCCTCTCCTCTCACGTGATCCCCTTTCCTCTATCCCAATACTTTCTCGTGGGACAGAAGCAACAGAGAGCTGCGGGCCTTGCTACAGGGCAAGCGCCTCGAACTAGCAGAGACGCGAGTGACACAGAGGAAGCCGCAAGATGCAATTTAGGGCTCCGAGACAAATTCTGCAAGTGTGAATCCCTATTTCATGCTATTTGAGGCATTTTTTTTCTTCCTCACACTTTCATTTTGAGTTTTACCTCGTTTTCCGTGCCTTTTCCTTTCTAATAACCGTCAGAGGTGCTGATTGTGTGTCGGAAGTGTCAAACTTCTTTTGTGAGCTTCCAAAAGGGTTCTAGCACAATAGCAGCATAGAAGTGTGGTCAGAGGTGATAGAAAACAAATTTGGCTGCTTTGAAGAAGGATTGGTCACCGATAAAGCTATTTAAGATATGTTTTTAGAAATCAATGATCTCTTAAGCTAAATTACATAATGAACTAATATATTATTAATTTCTAATTCGTTTAAATTTCAGAATAGTTACGTGAGACAACATGTTCGAGTCAAGAGTGCGGAAAATCGTCGTAGGTCGAATCAGTTAAAATTCAAGTAAATTAATCCTAAGCTAAGAAGATTGATTTGATCAATAGAAATTGCTTAAATTTTAAAATTTAAATATTATGTTTTATAGATTATTAAGCTCAACTTAAAAGTCACAACAACCTCTAGCTAGATATCAAAGATTAAGATTTTAGTCTGGCAACTGGGGTGAGTAATCACATTTTTATGAATGCATGTTTATATTTATTTTAGAATGAATGTTTGACTCTATGTATGCTCTAGTTTAGTTAAATTCTTCATATTGGTATATAAAACATATATGCATGCCAAAAAAGATATACACGATATGTATGAAAGAAATGCATGAGTTGCATGATATGTATGATATGTATGATATTAAAGATAAATAAGATATGAATAACATGATAGAAAAAAAATATGAATGATAGAAAAGATATACTTAGGATAAGAGGTATGCATGATATAAAATAAGAATGATAGAAAAGATCTACTTGGGATAAAAGATATGCATGATATAAAAGTTATGAATGATGAATAGTGGCATAACAAAGTAAAGATACATATTAGTAGTTACATAAAAATATCTCAGAATAATGTATGTTATAAAGAATGAAATAGCTTTTATGTGAATATTTGTATGTGCATGTTCAGAGAAGTATTTCATTGCCTAATGGTATAGACAGGGTACGTCAGCATACCCGCACATGTAGAGTTTTTCTACCACCCCAGACAATTGTGATGTTTAGTTCACTAACCGTTGTGACAACGAGTTAATATCGACCAGAGAGAGTAAACCAGAGCTTACCTCCCCAGACAATTGTAATGTTTACATTACTAACTGTTGTGCCGACAAGGTGATATTGGTATCGGCCAGGGACAAGTAAGGAACTTTCTACGTTAGACAATTGTGATGTGTAAATCGCTAACCGTTGTACCGACGGAAGCCGATGAGACAATATCGACCAAGAGTATGTTAGTTTTGTCGACGATGATCCTCACAAAGACAGATGTGTATGTAAAGTATAAAGTAAAAATAAAGTTAAAATAAATGCTTATAGAAGATTGAGTATATTCATTTAGAAAAATCATTGATACATGCATTAACATATATCCTATTGTTTATAAATATATATATATCAAATTGCTTATAAAATATAAAAGACCAAGATATTATAAGATTTCTTATAGACTCACATACATATTGAATTCTTTTTTTTTATTATTGTAGTTTAGATGTGTGATTATTTCTGGGCTATTTTTAGATAACTCATTATGTTTTTTTAATATTATTTTTAAGTTTTAAACATTTGAATAATATGAATAGAAAATGAGCAAATATATACAAGAGATGAAAATAACAAACATAAATACGCAAATTTCTACTTGTAAATTTTAATTGATTTCTTTAATGACTTTTTCATCTACTATTTGAAGATTGCATTGTTAGTAATAAAATTAGAATAGCAGATAATTGATTTACATCGTCCGACCATCCGTTTTCGTCTTGGTTAACTCAAACCCCGGCTAGGTCGTAACACCTACAATCGACGTAAGAGAAAGTGGGAGTTTAGTTACAGAAGCAGCCGTGTGGAATGGAGAAAAATCGCAAGAGTAGATCTTGCAGGCAAAACTTGCAGACAAACGTTCAAGTCAAATATCCCAGATGACACAAGAGAAAAGTCGCAAGAGGCCCAGCAGAACTCGCAGACCAAACTCTTAGACAGACGTTCAAGCCCTAGCATAGTGCGTAATGATCATGGATAAAAGTAGAGCAAAGTGGAACTCTTAGACAGAGGTTCAAATGCAATTTTAAGAGCAAATCGTGGCTCTGATACCATGTAGGTACGCAAGGTAGAATATAAATTATTCCTCTTCAATTTCATACAAAATGATTACAAGATAAATAGAGGGGGATGGATTTTACATTAGAAGAATTATAAAAACAACCATAACCCCCAATGATAAAAGAAGGAAACAGAAACTATGACATACTAATAGTGCTACAGTCTAGAAATAAAAAATACCTAACAAAAAAATATACTAAAATAAAAACTTTCTAAAAATCCAACATAAATTTTAAAATGTTGAGCTTTATTTCTTTTGCTCCTTGTTCACAACAATATTTTGATTTGGCCCTCATGGAAACCCATGAACACTTTCCCATAAAATTTTTTATTATAAAACAGAGTTACTATTTTAATGGCTACTTGTTGGATGGTAACTGAAAATAAAATACCGTCGAAATAACTACGGAAAAACCAGAAAAAAAAACCGTCACTGGAACTAGCCATTGGAAAATAGATTCCCTAATGCCTGTTATAACCCTCATAGTCTAAAGATTTTCATTCCTTTAATAGTAACCTAATAAATCTTCTTATTTTCATTGCCAGATATCCTTTTATTTTCTGGACTTTCTCCTAAGCAGTATATGCATAACCTTCTATCCCAGCCGATTCCCCGCCGATCCTGAATGCTCAATGGAACCTGCCAACTTTGTTCTTGCACCCATCCATTACGTACTATTTTTAGGAGGATCTTTTCTAATATTAATTTAAATATGAGTACAGACAGGATAATTTTGTTTGTTTTTTCTAGCTACTTACATATATTTCAGAATTATTAATAGTAGTAATTTATAAATTGAAATCATAGCATTCGTTCTCAAATAAAAATAAAATCAGCAATGTCATTCAACAAGAACAAATAACCAGACAAAATTTTTACCAAACTACATAATTTCGTTTTACTTTTCATGCATTATGAACTACACAAATAGCATAGCCTATTTTTACTAACAATAGTTTGCTGACATTAGATTTTAAACCTGCTTTATCAACATCAGAAATAGAAAAAACTGGCCCTAAGATTGAAGGACTAACTAAAAAACTTAAGAGTTAATGTAAGTGTCAAGTTTCCCAGAATTTGTTTCTATAGTCGTTGACTTGTGAACTGGTCAAGATCATTTTTATAATGATTTTAGAATGAAACACCACCTGCACGTCTTATTAGTCTCACATATATTACAAAGTCTTTCGCTTTGCTCTGAAAGATGACTTTCGAACCATTGACATCAAACTAGCATTGCCACCAAATAGTCAATAGGACATGCTAAAATAAAATTCACATAAGCAAGAAGACTAGTTACACCTCTAGTTTAGAAATTATAACATGTTTTTTCCATCTTTTTTTTTAATCCTTAAAATGGTGAATTTTGCATTAATCAATAACACTAAATATATTACGACATATGAAGATGTAAACATTAAACATTATAATACAACAATGGGCAGACAGCAGTTACGTATCAATATAAAGCTTATTTGGATCAGGCATTGCAACATGGCATAATTAGAGACATCAACCAAGTTATGGTGCAGTAATCAACAATAAAGTACCGTAAAGCAACACAAAGGAATAATAGATTGCGAGGAATTAGACAGCTGGAGTATATTCACTGTAAAAGTAACAATTGTTTCAAATTGCCAGCTGTTGAAAATTACCTTTTCCATAGGCCGCCTGCATACCATGTCTCCAGGAAATTGTGAAGTCCATGAAATAATAGGTAAGCAGCCTTTGCGTCATCTTGAGATAAGCGAATCCTCTGAGTATTTTCATCCCTCAAACCAGGACTTCCTGATATTAAGATAGCTCCATCTATCTGCGAACAAACTTTAGCGAAGGTAAATAAGTTATTATGTAGATTCTTAGATCAATACCTTTTCACAGTACTTCAGAGACATGTACAATGCAATTCTTCCTCCCATTGAGTATCCAACCAGAGCAACCCTTCCAGTTGTAGTGCTACAAATCAACTTCAGCAACATTTCAGCCACCGATTCAATTGATAGATAAGTTTCTTGTTTCAAATTTTTCTTATGCTGCTGAACGCAAGATTCTCCATGCCCTGGAAGGTCAATAGAGATGCATCTTGTAGTAGATGATAAAGCTTTCATCAACGGAATCCAATCTTGGCTGCTACCGAGAACCCTACACGAGTAATGTTTGTCTTAGTAAGATTAAATGAGGGAAGTTTTACGCTAAAAAGTCTACTGATCAGAGATTTACAAAAAATGGAAATCAATGAAGGCAGTAGGAAGGGATGTTATAATATCTACATATAACTTCAAAATTTTTGAATTTAATTGTTTGAATAAATGTTTTGCCATTAAGATATGTACAATGGTTTAATTTTGATCTTTTTTTTCAAGTACTGCCTGTCCACTTGCATATACATATTACAGATTCGGTGGCAGAATCTTCTTACACGTATTATGATATCACAGTTTTACCTTTATATGGGTTGAATTTTTATGTGGTGAGCCTCACAAAGAATCATTTCCACTCCCAATAAATAAGAAAGGTGAGGTAATTCATTTTCATCATCCAAGTTCAATTGAGTTCAAACTGAGGGTTTGAAAGAGTTTTAAGGATGCAAAAGAAGTGAAAGAGAGAGCAGTGAGAAGGGGAATGCAAGCAGACAGGTGAGGGATCGGTTTAACTTGTGTCTTTTCTAAGCAATTTTAACATTCACGACATGTCCTCACAGTTTATTTTGCAAAACAGGTAATGATTTGGCTATCTTAATTATTGTTGAAGTGTCGCCAAACTTAACATGATTTCGCATTTTTCATCGTGTTTGATCAAATTGATATAGGCAATCATTTCTTAGTAAATCTAATGTTTCAAACATAACAACGCAATTTGTTTCATAAAATAAGTGACATCTAGATGACCTTAATTTATGCGATACTTTTTAAACTGAACTTGTGCAATAACATGCCTGTCCTTCATGCTATTATCACATTAGATTGAAAGAAGGTGCAGCAGACATGAAGATCAACATGTGGTAGCTGTAGTGTACAAAGTAAAGGCAAAAGACATCCTTGCAAGGCATTCTTACTTTATTTGTTTTTCAAAACATTCTGGTAACAAGTTGAATGGCATCTTACGAAAAACAATATATTCCAAAATCAAGCAATGACATTTATTGAGAAAAGTAAGTATACATCTTTACTTCCACCAGTCTCCATCAGCTTGAATGAATAGGAGAAACCGTTGCAGTTGACTTCTGATTTGTAAGACCTGACTTGTTCACCACTGTAAATCCTCTTAATTACTTCATGGTTTACCTGAAAATTTCTAAGGAAGATATCAGTATCTCCTATAGAGGCTTCCACTCTTCTTCCATGAGAAGGACAACATATTATAAGGGATTCGGTTGATACATCTTCCTTTAACCATTGAAAAGTTCCAAGACCGTGGGCTGCAGTAGCTGGCTGCTTTACTTTTCTCATTTCAGATATTGATTTGTTCTGTTTCTCAAGATAGAGAGCAAATTTTACATATGCTGACAACCCCAGACTACTTTCAAAAGCGCTACTGACAATCGCCAACTTCTCATGCATTTGAGCCCACTTTGCGATAAGTGAAGCATTTTCAAATCCTCCAACCACACTTGGTTTAATAACCTGTAATATCAACCCAGAAAAACAATGTGAACCAGTAAAGCCAATGAAGTCAAATGTGAATTCAATCCCCAAAATCCCGACAGTTACTTACAACAGCAACTATTCCAGGATGGACAAACTTCTCAAGTTTTTGAAGAGCTTCTCCACTGATATTATCAATTGTTTCATCTAGTGCCACAGGTAAGCCAGTTTCTTCACAAAATTTGATAATATCATCTTCAAAACATACAGGTTCCTGTAGAATTGGAGAAAATACAAGCTAAGGACCAAGGAAATGGAAAAAGTGCAGACGTAACTAAGTTTTGTTTCCCACTTTTATCAAACGATCATATGTATGAATAAACTTGTCTGCAAGCAAATCCTGTGCATGAGTGGGGAAAGGTAGATTAAATAAAACTCTTATTTTTCACCGACCGAGAACAAAGCAATATTCCTAACAGAGACAAGGTAATCTTTTAGAAGGTGAAAAAAAAACAGATAATTAATGAAGTATGCATGAGATTTCAAATTAAACACTTACCATGATATGGCAACATCCTCTACTACCCATTCTTTCGTCTCCTTAAAAAGTGAGACATAATAGTAGTGAAGTTTAGTTACATACAATCCATGAATGTACAGTGTGACTGTATGCAACTAGAAAATCTTGAACAATAAAGTTGTATGTGAGCAGATAGATATCTGAGCATGTAAAGCCATATTTTCTACCAAGCTAACGTTCTCAACTGACAGCCAAATTAAATCTATCAGTAGCAAAACAATACTAAACTAATATAATTAATCTAGAAACAATTTTGACTGGAGCTGCAGTTCATTTGATGGAGAGAGCAAACACAAATGAAGTGTAATGACTAGAGTTGCAGTTGATTTGAAGGAGACAGCAAACCTAAATAAAGTCTAATAACTCGGCAATCCACAAAAAAGTAAGACCAATAGAAGAATTCTTAAATAGACTATTTAAAATAACAAAAGAACTAAGAGTGATAATAACTACTATAGTTATTGTTAGAAGTAATTAGCAAAGATTTATTTTCTTTTCCAATATTTCCTGTTTATATATTTTCTTCCTGTTTAATGTATTTCCTATTTTTATGTCTTTCCTGTTTTATATGTTTCCTATGCTAGGAGTCATATAATGTCTACTTATACCTACCACTCCATATCAATAAGATTATCCTGCTCAATTCCCAATACCTACATGGTAAAAGAGACAAGGATCTAACCATAGCCCCCGGCACCTTCTTCCCGTCGCTGGAACTTCCTGCGGGCCTCCCTCCCTTGCAGTTTTCAGCCACGGGCCTTCCTCCCCTGCAGTTTTTTCTCCTCCTGCAGTTGTTTTCAGCCGCTAGGGACTTCCTCCCATAGCCAGAATGTCTTGCAGGCCTCCCTTCCCTGAAGTTTTCAGCCGCTGGCCTCCCATTTCCTGCAGTGTTTTAGCCACTAGCTTCTATGAAAGCTCTCTCGTCATTGCTTCCTGTAGATTTCAGCCACCGATCCTTTCTGCAAGATATTCCAGCCGCTTGAACTCCAACCAGCTAAATCTCCTTCTAGGTTCACCGACGGCAGGGCCTACCGCCACTGATCTTCCGTGCAGGATTTCCCATTGCCGCCTCTCCCTTCTGCCAAGTCTGTGCTATTCATATATAGGAATCCTTCAACTTAAGCAACATTCACAAAGTTGTCATGCTATGCTCGACACCTCTACTCCTTCAGCCAAACCTTTAGCCTCGGTCTATAGTAGTAATCAACACTCTGCCATGCTGTCAATCACTCCACATGTGATTTCTTGTCACAAACTTTATCATACCCGTGAAAAGTGTTAGAAGCTTCACGGAAAACCAGCAAATAAGTCTTCAGCCAAATTCTTCGCAGTCAAAGAACTCACTACGATTTTAGATTCCATGACTCTATAGCCGAACCCTATTCGGACCATCCTAGAATCACCAGACTCCATCAAAAGTCAGATGGGACGCTTAATTAAGTTGTTTAGACCTAGTCAGCTCTCCTCTGGCCCATCAACCTCCCATATTCGTCAAAGTAACATTTCTATAGAACTCACTACTTTTGATCCTAATAGTCAGTGGATTATTATTTCAGGTTCCACATACCACAGAACCAAGTGTTCATAAGCCTTCTCGACATATTCTCTGAGCTCCAGGAGAGATACTATTAAAATTGTCGACGGTCATATAGTTCCATTGTGGGTAAGGGTATGTTGTTCTCATAGTCGGGCTAACTTTGGGATCCATGTTACATGTTCCTTTACTGAAGTGCAACATCTTATCGGTCAGTAAGTTAACATAACCTTGATTACATTACTCATTTTTCTTCTGGTATTTGTGTCTTTTAGGATCGCCGTTTAGGGAGGAAGATTAAAACCGCTGAGCGGGTAGCAGGGCTCAACTTCTTCCATGAAAAAGACATTGATTATGCGGACACTTAATACCATAATTGTAGTTTTTTCCGGTCCATTGAATGTCTTATTGTGCTTTTATATTATCGATTGGTCATCCCAATTTTCACGATTTAAAATAATTATATTTTTTGAAATTTATTAATAAAAATCTATCTAGTTTTAAATGTGAGATTTGTCACTCAGCTAAACATCAATGTGCACCATATCCACCCAGCCTTACACTCCTTCCGCTCCATTTTTACTGATTTATAGTAATTTATGGAGACCCTCTCGAACTCCGAGCTATACTAATAAATGATGGTTCCTTATTTTAATTGATAACCACACTTAGATGACTTGAGTTTATATATTAAAAGACAAATATGAAATGACGATCACCTTAAAAAAATTCCACTCCATTTGGTCTAATTCAAAGCCACCATTCGTCCTTCGAGCCAACAATGACCGTGAATATTTAAAGTCTATCATGGGAAAATTCTTGGTCAGTGAGGTTATCCTCCATCATAGCTCCTGGCAGATATCCCTCAACAACAAGGGACAACCGAGAGGAAATACCAACACCTTAAAGTTGCTTGCTCCACTATGATTCAATCTAACGTCCTTAAAACTTTTTGGAATGATGCCGTCCTTACTGACATATCTCATCAACAAAGACCCCACAAAAAACCAAAACGTCCGTACCCCATTATCTATCATGATGTTGTGTTTTTTTAACAATCAGTTCTTCTCCACATTAGACCCCAAAATATTTGGATGCACGGTTTTTGTTCGGAACACTACCCTAACACGTAGTAAAATTAATCCCTGCTCAATCAAATGTATCTTCCTCAGGTATTCTGCCACTCAAAAAGACTATTGGTGTTTTGATCCTACCACCAACAAACTCAATGTAAGTGCTGATGTCTCGTTTTTTGAAAGTATTCCCTACTTCCCTAAGATTGTCTCAGTTGACAGGGAGCTAGAATTTTTGTTCTTTTCCAACTCCGTTGGTTATTTTACTTACTATTAACACTAAATCTGAGAAACCTTATGTCCCACTGGATCTGCCACCAAGCAGACCAAAATCTCCTCCATCCACTCTCCACGTCAAGACTCGACATACCAAACCCTCAGAAGGACTTGTCACAATGCCCCTACTCTTGAGCCCGCTGCCTTGCTGCAAGTTTTGGAATTTTCTTAGATCGATATTCACAGAACGAAACTCTCTCAACCTACTGGAATCACTTCTGCTCTTAATGAGGAGTTGAATTCTTTCATTGAGGTATGCAATCAGACATGTTCTCTTTATCAAATGACAAAATACGTCTCTTTTCACCGACCTACAAAGAATTTGCTATTTCTGTGACGGATCGTTGTCTTCTATCCACTATTGAGGCAGCATTGACTAAACCTTCTTGGAGGGCGGCAATCATGAACGAGATGAATGCCCTTCGGTGAAATCATACTTGAGATATTGTTTATCTTCTTCAAAGAAAAAAAACGGTAGGTTGCCGATGGATTTTCAACACCAATTTTAACTCTGATGGATCCTTTGAATGCAATAAGACAAAGTTGGTCGCTAAATACAATTCGCAAACCTATGGAGTGGAAAATGAGGAGATGTTTGCTTCAGTAGCTAAACTAAACACCATTCGGGTTCTGTTATTGCTTGTCGTGAATCTAGATTGTCCCTTACTTCAACTGGATGTCAAAAATGCTTTCCTTAACAACGATCTCGCAGAGGAGGTGTATATGTCTCTCCTACCGGGCTTTGAATCAACCTCTTCTCGTGGACAATTGTGTAGATTGCATAAATCTATTTATGGATTGATACAGTTACCACAGGCCTGGTTCAAGAAGTTTACACAAGATGTTGTGTGCCATGAATCACACGATGTTCTTCCACCACTCATCCAATGACCGTATTGTCACCCTCATCGCCTATGTCGACAACATTCTCACAGATGATGATCAACTAGCCTTGGAATCTCTCAAAAGCATCCTAGCTACATCATATGAGATGTACTTGGATTCTCTTCGATATTTCCTAAGTATGGAAGTAGCTCGTTCCGCTCGGGACATTAGCCTTTCCCAATGCAAATATATGATAGATTTACTGACTGAAACAAAGCTACTTCTTTGCAAACTGGTAGCTGTTCTAATGGATCCTAATTAGAAGTTGGCTGATGTTCCTAATGCAGTTATGGTAAACAAAACACAAATCATTTACCTAGCCCACACGCTCCTGAATATTTTTCATGCTATTAGGTATTGTCAATCAGTTAATGCATGATCCCTATGAGCACTACTTCACCGTTGTACATCAAATCCTCAACTACGTGAAAGGCACACCGGGCTCAGATTTGTCGTTTGCTCATCACACTTCTTGTTCTATTGTAGTTTATACAGATGACGATTGGGCTGGGTCCATCCATCATCAACAATCTACCTTGGTTATCGCTCCTTCGTGCGCGGAAAGTTTGTCATATGGGAAAAGTAAAAAATAGTCTGTGGTTGCCTGCAATAGTGTTGAAGCCGAGTTTCAATCTATGTCTAATGTGAAGCCCTCTGGTTGCGCATCATGCTCCGTGAGTTATGCATGTCAGTCTCTTTTTCTCTGCAGCTGTTTTGTGATAATAAAGCCGCCGTCAACATTGCCAATAATCCTGTCCAACAAGATCATGCCAACCATATGGAGATTGATCGTCATTTTAACAAGGAGAAGATTGATTCCGAGAAAATTTGTGTTCCATTCGTTCCTTTCACCGGTCAACTAGCAAATATTCTTACGAAAAATCTTCCTCGGCCGTTGTTTGAAGGGTCCAAATCCAAGTTGAACATGATTGACATCCATGCTTCAACTTGAGGGGGAATGTTAAAAGTTATTAGCATTCATTTATTTCCTTTTCCTATAATTCATGTTTCATATATTTCCTTCCTATTTTATGTATTTTTTATTTGTATGTTTTCCCCATTTTATATTTTTCTTATTTTATAGATTTCCTATGTTCAGAGTCGAGTAATCTGTACTTATACTCTCCTTTCATATCAATAAGATAAGCCTGCTCAATTCTCAAAATCTACAGTTATAATGTCAATACAATAAAGAATATTACTTTAACTTGATATGAGCAAGAAATAATTTGTATGTATCATATACATTTGTCATGATTATATTAAATGGGATTAATGAAGAATTAACAGTAACACTAGTGCACTGAAAGGATAAAGTCACAAGTCTACCTCAATGTATTCTAATGCAAAGCTTTTAACAGATGACCCAAAATGAACCGCCTTGTCATAGGTCCATTTGCGATTTGCATCCACACGAATGTTAATTTGATAGCCAATCATTTCTCTGATTTTGCTGATAACAGCTGCATCTTCAGTGGGGTCTTCCCGTCGTGCAACCTTTATTTCATGTACGTTTTCATTTATGAGAACAACTCGAGGAACTATTAAGAATGCTTAAATTCTGACTGATTTGTTAACCTCAGTAATTCATAAAAAGGATGTTTCTGAAATATATTGTGTTTCATAAATATTTAAAAAATGGAATTGCAGAAATTCTGGCTTTTTACCTTGATCTTTACTGTACTGAAACCACCATGAAACAGCTGAGAGACGACATGAGCAACCAAATTTGGGGTTCCACCACAATCCACAAGGGCACAGATTGGTATCCCCTCTTCGCATAAGTTTTTATCAGCTACTGGTTGGGTACCTAACAAGTAGCTCTCGTATCCAATGAAACCTGACAAGCTAGAACCCTCTCTTCTTGCTAATGCGTCAAGTATAGCCATTTCCATGCCACATCTTACACTAGGAAAGAAAGAAGAGGGCTGCAAATTAAGATTTGATGCTTAGCTTTCAAGAATTAATTTTACAATTTTGTGTATTAAGAGAAAAGATTGAAACAACAATCATAATACACCTACCGGAATACCCAATATTTTCCATATCCAATGTGAAAAGGAGCCGCTAAGCAACGGAAGCTGTCTACTTAGTTCAGCTCCCTTCATTACATGAACAAGAAATCTCAGCTGTTCTTCAACGTCTAACAAAGTCTCTTTATGAATTTCTATTGGAGCTACCTGCATGGTATCAAAAAAAATGTATACATATAAATAAATAAATAAATATCTATCTATCCATATACATACATACATACATACATATATATACATACATACATATATATATATATATATACATATATATATATATATATATACATACATACATATATATATATATATATACATATATATATATAAACACAAACAAATATTTGTTTGTTTGTGTTCGGCTCATCAATGGCATCGGCAGCAGCACACTCTACTAGGGTTTCACCCCATGGCGATTCCCGACGGTGAATCTATTGACTTCTTCGCTTCTCTTTGGCGTTTCCCACGACGACGTTTACTCCCTATCTCTCCTGTTGAAGTCGATTGCTCCCAGTCGTATCCGTGGTTGACAGAACGCTCCCACCATCGTCGTCAGTTTCCTTAGAGGAAGGCGCTACAGTCGTCTCCCGTAACCGATCTTGCATCTGTTTCCTTAGACGAAGGCGCTACAGTCGTCTCGCTCCAGACGACCCGAGCCCGACAGCGCCAACGATTTCCTCACTTTCTTGCGGCCCGTTAGACCATTTCTTTCCTGACCTCTTGTGAGGGAGAGGGCCTCGACGCTCTGTTCCTATGCAAATGCCCTTGTCGGCGACTTGCCCATTCCAGCTCGTGCCCCTCCTCCAGGTTCAAAGCTTGCTTTTGCTATCGGTAAGTCCTGCAATGTTCCACAATCGTACTACGAGGCTCTTGATGCTGGCGGCGAACACACTTTTATTAAAAAGTTTGGAAAAAAAATGGGAAGCCTACTCTTAATCTCACTGAGGTTGAAACTAGTAATCTAGCGTCCTTTTGGCGTTTTGCTTTAGTGGGGAAATTCCTTCATGGTCATCCAAAACTGGAGATCATTAGGAAAAAAATTGATGCTATGAAACTATTGGGCAATTGGAACATTAGTCCACTAGACGGTCAACATATACTTATTCAGCTATCTCACGATGCCGATTACACTCGCATTTTCTCTCGGAAAGTTATCAAGATTGACAATCGTTTTATGAAAATTCTGAAGTGGAATGTCGGTTTTGATTCAAAAGCGGAGTCCCCTATCATTCCAGTTTGGATAAAATTTCCGGGGTTAAAATTACATCTGTTCAACATAGAAATCCCCTACTGTTTAGCAGCTGCTTATAATAAGCCTCTCAAGGTGGATAGTCCTACTCTTTCTGTCACCAGACCCTCTGTGGCTTGTGTGCTAGTTGAGAGAGATATCACTCAACCAACTCTAGATGAGATATGAATTGACACTATTCACACCGGGTATTGGCAAAATGTTGAAATAGAACCACATCCTTCTTATTGCTCTCATTGTAGTATGATTGACCACAGTTCTACTATTTGCTATCACTTGTATCCTCATCTAGAGCCGAATAACGCTAAAGATCAGCCACCTACCATCCTTGCTGAGAAGGTCCAATTCGATCCTCTTTCCAACATCGCAGTTCCACATGAACACCTTGAACACCTTACTACAGGTACAGGCTGATATCACTTACTGTTATTGAAGAAGATCCACTTACATGCCAAGACACACGAGAGTGCTCTTTCGACCCGATAGCTCTTTCGACCCACCCGATAGAAGATCAGCTGGTACAATAAATAGTTGCTTCTAATGTTCAACAATCTGCACACTTCAGACCATTCTGTTGATCAGGTGAGCCAATCTTCAGATGAGAAATGACAGGTCTACACGAGGAGGAAGAAGAAGAGCGGAGGACGACTCGAGCTAGGGAATCTATTGGATGATACATTGGTTACTACTAGCAATGACAGTCATCTGACAAATTTATTAGCTGACTCCTTCCCTAGAACTAGAGGCAGAGGCAAGGTAAAATCGAGTCGCTCTCAGCTATAATCGGGTCGCTCTTCAGCTACCTGATACTCTTATTTTGGCACCTTTTGGTTTTTTATTTAGATATCTTATGTTTTTTTTTGTATTTTCTCTTTTTTGGAATCACTTGATTTGCTGGTTTTTGTGTGGGCCGGGTGCCATGTTTGGGACAATCCACAAAATCTATATGTACCTTATTTTTTATTTAATATATTAGCATTTGAGCTTTATATATATATATATATGTCGTTCGTAAATCTTTTCTCTCGTGCTCGACGAACTTCCCGCACAACGACGATAAAGGTCTCTGCGTTCGTCGTCTTCGACGCAGTCCCTTTTCGAGATTTCGAGCTGCGGTTTCAAACTTACCACACTTGACGACGACGACGAAGGCCTCTGCGGTCATCGACGAAGGGCTTCAGCGCGACTTCCTCGAGCTGCAGTTCTGTCTGCTTTCCTGTTCGCAGAAGGGCGCGCCTTCTGCTCTTCCTGCCCGACAGAAGGTTCTCGTTCGCCTGTCTGCTCTTCCTGCCTGCCAAACTATTTCTCTCCTGTCTTGTGAGGGAGATGGCCTTGACGCTCCGTTCCTATGCAAATGCTCTTGCCGGCGACTTTCCTGCTCGTGCCCCTCCTCCAGGTTCAGCGCCTGGTTTTGCTATCGATAAGTCCTGCAATGTTTCAGAATCTTTCCATGAGGCTCTTGAATGTGGAGGTGATCACACATTTATTAAAAACTTTAAAAAAAATGGAAAGCCTGGACTTATTCTCACAGAGGTTGAAACCGACACTCTTGCGTCCTCTTGACGCTTCTCTCTAGTGGGGAAATTCCTTTATGGTCACCAAAACTGGAGATCATGAGGAAGGAGTTTGATACTATGAAACGATTGGGCAGTTGGAACATTATACTACTTGACGGTAGACATATACTTATTCAGCTATCTCATGATGCCGATTACACTCGCATTTTCTCTCGAAAAGCTATCAAGATTGACAATCGTTTTATACAATCGTTTTATGTCGTTTTATGAAAATTCTGAAGTGGACTATCGGTTTTGATTCAAAAGCGGAGCCCCCTATCATTCCTGTTTGGATAAAGTTTCCGGGGTTAAAAGTACAACTGTTCAACATGAAAATCCTCTACTCTTGAGCATCTCTTTACGGGAGCATCTCCTTACGGTAAGCCTCTCAAGGTGGATAGTCCTACACTTGCTGTCACTAAACCATCCGTGACTTGTGTGTTAGTTGAGAGAGATATCACTCAAACAGCTCCGGATGAGATATGGATTGACACTATGTACAACGGACATTGACAAAAGATTGAAATGGAACCACATCCTTCTCATTGCTCTTATTGTAGTATGTTTAGTCACAACTCTACTATTTGCTATTGTTTGCATCCTCATCTAAGGCCGAATATCGCTAAAGAACAACCACCTACTATCCCTGTTGAGAAGATGCAACCCGATCCTCTTCCCAACACCGCAGTTCCTGAAGAAGAAGAATATACTACAGCAACAGATCCAGTTGTGCCATACCACCCATTGTTATTGAAGACTCACTCACATGCCAACACACGAGAGTGCTCCTTTGATCCAATAACAGATCAGCCGGTACAACAGGTAGTTGCTTCAAATGTCCAACAATCTGCACATCCCTAGCACAATTTAGACCAAGATCAAGTGAGCCAATTTTCAGAAGAGGAATGCAGGTCTATTCCAGGAGGAAGAAGAAGAATGGAGGCCGACTCCAGCTCGGGAACATATCGGATGATAAATTGGTTACTACTGGCAATGACAATCATCTTACCAACTTATTAGCTTGCTCCTTTTCTAGAACCAGAAGCAGAGGCAAAACTAAATTGGGTTGCTCTCTAGCCCCCTGATACTATGTAGTTCTACATTTTTAGGCTTTTTCTTTGTCTTTAATGTACTTTTTAGTATTTTCTAGTTGTGGAACCCCTTGTGGTTTTATTGTGAGCAGGGTGCCATGTTTGGACCCTCCATCACATTGTATCTATTAGCCTTTGTGAGCTTTCAATATATATATATATATATATATATGTATGTATATATATTTAAAAAAGCTATTTGTTGCTCCTTACGCGTTAATATCAAAGGCGTTTACAAAATAAGGGAGAGAGAAGATTCCCGCTAAAAATAAAGAAAATACATATAGTCCTAGGAGTTCCTCCTTCCGCATTACAACTCTACCAAAAAAAAAAAGAAAGATAAAACAAAGGTAAATATAATCCAAAAATACATGTATTCAAACAAAACGTATACCCAACAAATGAAGTATACCCCATATGAACATGTATAAAAATTGAAACAAAAGTAGCGCAAGTTGCTAAGCTAAAAACAAACGTCCTGAAAGCTAGAAAAAGCACCACCAAGCATATCCCAAAATTCAAATAGCTGAAGCTCAAAAACTGTGAATGCACCAAACAAGCAAGTAAACATGTGAGCAAGGAAGATAGAGAAGGATACAAGCTCTTCCAACCCCCCATCCTGAAATGCATAGAACAAATAAGGAGCCACGGTCCTGCCTAGGACATAGAGTGAAAATATCGTAGAAATTTGGAGCTATGAGCCTCCATAACAAAGTGATTAAACCCATTCACCAAAAAAATGTAAAGCTGGAGCAATAAGCTAAACCTCCAGTAACCATTCTCAACAGTATCCCCAATAAAATAACTGCAATAAATCCCATATGCCAGATCTCCACATAAGCCTCCCCAGACCAATACTTGAAGCAAAAACCGTCTATCAGGCCACCAAAAGGTATAGGAGGAATCTAAAGTAAAGTATAAGAATCCATCCAACCTTAAAAACAAGAAAACACCAAATATAAGCTGCCCAACCGTAACCAAAATAAGGAGCCATGAGCCTCCCATATTATTCATCACATACGAAGTAATGGAGCCATGGGCCCCTATGCAAATTTCAAAAACCCGTCCACCATATAATGCATGTATAGTTGCTGCTTGCCCCACCCATTTCCTGAAACAGCAGACAACTAAGGTACCACGAGATAATTTAAGAAGAGTAAAAACAGCCCAAAAAACAGCCTGGGTCGAAACATACCACTCAGCCATAAAAAATAATCTAAGAGGAACCATCCCTACGAATATAAGGGGCAT